AGCTGAGAACTCCCACTGCAAATTTAAGAAGGAACCCGAGTTAAAGACAAGCAACAACCAGAGAAAAGAGGACATGTAAAATTGAAGCATAACCTTGGTGAAGCAACAGAAGAACCATGCTCTACCGAAGCGTTTTGCATTGTTGGAACAACATATGGAGAAGTAAGAGGCATCAAGTGAGGACTGCAACGGAAAGCAGCAATTAGTAATGAACAAAAGGAAACTGGACCACAAACTGAAGAACAGTAAAACAACCTGTTAGGAGGTGGTGTATGGGGCATAGCATTTCTTGCCCGGCGACCAAGAGTTGGTGAGCAGGAATTTGGCTGTTCTTGCTCATTGACAGCAAGGACCGTGAATTCTGGCGGGCCACGAGCCCCATATTCCGGTTTTGGAAGCTGGACGTCAAAAGTAAAGTCGCGCCCTTCAAGAGCCAGAAGTTCTTGTGGAAGAACATTGCGTTGGTAAGGAAACCTAGTAGAGAGATCGTTAGCAGTCAAGCCCACAAGAAGGTCAGCGGCCCTACCCAGCAGAACAAAAGCTGCTGATCCAGTGTTGTCATCAACTGTTACCCGAAGTTTGTAACTGCAAAAAACGTGCACAGGAGCATCTGAGGACACGAGAAAAGGTAAAAGGTATGGGGGCAAGAATGAAGAAAGGAATTACAAGTTCTGTGTTTGTTGAGGCACCAAACGACGGTGGTCATCACACCATTTGTCAACACCATCATAATCTATGGCTGCTTTGGAACAAAGCGCACAACCCAAGTAGTACCACTGCATAGAAGAATCAACCGAAACAATCCGACCAGAGCAATGGTAACGCGTAGACTAAAAAAAAGTGAACGAAAAAAATGATTAGACGGACAAACAAATGAAGTGAAAGGAACAGAAGCAGGTAAGCTGGAGAGCAAAATGGGAAAAAGCATACATCGGCAACAGGTGGAAAACACAAGGCAAGTAGTTGTGACACAGTCTTCGTACATTCAGCTTCGAAGGCCGCTGCCTCATTAGGAGTTGCAAACCTCGGAGGGTAATATTGACATGTATTAGTGCTGGCAAAGAACCTAACGAAAGCGAAAGCAAGGAACGCAACAAATTAGCAGTAACCAAAAATACAGCTGATGATGCAAAGGGAAAAACAAATATGAGGAGGATAAGAAAAGACATACACAGACTGGACCAGGTGAGCCATTTCAGAAACAGGGTTGAGAACACAACGTGTGCCTGGAGTACTGGTAAGAGAGTAACCTCCTACAAGAGGGGTAAAGGTAATAAGGAAAAGAGGAAGGGAAATGAAAGGGAGAATAGTGCGGCGGTAAGGTACATGCAGACCTTTCGTAGCGCCAGTGACTCGAAGTGAGCAAACAGCAAGCATAACTGGCCCAGAACGACCAAGGACAGCCAGTTCCTGACCATTGAGATTCCGAGCTATATCACTCCACAGACTGATGTCAAGAAACATGTGACTGGCCAAAAAAGCAACGAAAGTAAGTAACAAATGTACTACAGTCGATAAAGCAGTGGTGTGCATCTGTAACATACTTTTCATTCTGAAGCACCAAATCACTCCGCACAGTGGTACCGAATGAAGTTACAGTGCTAGAAACGCCTGTTATGCTAACAACAGCGCCAACGACATCTGACAGAGGCACAAGCAAGAGAAGAAAGGAAAGGATAGTAAGCAGTACACTGCAGAACGGACAGCAAGAGACGTAGAGAACACAGTACAAGACCTGTTAGATAAACCGATGAACGTATGCGGGAATGAAGGGAGCTGAAAGGGGTAAACTCGAACGCATCCGGCCAGAATGAAGGTGACGAACGGGTCACGTCTTCGAACTGTGTAGCGGCAGAGAGGATGATGGTCAACTTATGAGAGCAAGAACGATACGAAGGGGCCGGTGGCTTGACGCGAAAATTGCTCACGAAGTAAACGCTACCCAACTGCAGAAGCGGAGAGAAATGGCGCGTGAGTTCCGAAGGAGCCGTGCCCTGAATCAAAGTACCCTGGCCAGAAAAGAAGCGAACCTCAGAGGGCTGTAAAAAGAAGGGAGGCGCAAGATTACGTGGCAAAATAAAAAGGAAAGCAGCGCTGACCTCCTCATCATTCCAAAGAGTGCAGTAGTTGAAGATTAATGTAGGATTCTTGAGCCCATAAGACCCCCACGCATTTAGGAGGCGCAGCTTCAGAAGAGTCTGAGGGCCATCGGAGTCGCTGAGGTCAAGAAGCAATTTATGGGTCACCATGGAAGAGCAATAGAAGAAAGCAAGCGAGCAAGCAAGCTAGAAGAGGAAAAGTCTGTAAGAAGCACAAATGAAAGGTAGCAAAGCAAAGCAAGACTTTTGTGGGGAAAGGAACAGATGAGGAAGCGCCAGACCTGTCATTTCCAGGGGAAAGGTGAGGAGTTCCGAAAACCGATAAGTTGCAGAGAGAAGAGAAGTCGCTGGCGAAGCAACCCAGGCTAAAAGCAGAGAGGAAAGAGAGAGGTAAGCAATGATTACAGACGAGAACGCAGTAAAAATGTGGCAAAGAAAAACAGTGTTAAGACGTGACTCTACCAAACAGTAAACTTGTAACTTGTTCTTTTAAAGAGATAATTATATAATAAAACGTACTGAGTGTCTAGGTTCAGAAATCTTTAACACAAAATTCTACATATCAAGACTTACACACGATTATATTGAAGACATGGGTTTAAAATTAGATAATCCAACCATGACTTGTTGGTGTGCTAAATGTTAGAAACTTTCAAACCGTTAGTAGCAAACAAATGAATTACATAACTTAATTGCTCCTCCCATTAGTAGTAGACAACCTAACCAAATGAATTACATAGCTTCACGGAGAAAAATAAATTTAGCTAGGCAAGGTGAAAAACAAATGAATTACATAGCTTCATGTCTTGGACTCTTGGTACATTAGGAATTGGAGTAATCCGATCCAGTAAGAGATCTGTGTTTCCAAAACCCTCCTGCAAATATTATAAGAAGATAATTTCCTAATCCTAACCACGATACAATAACGAGATAATTTCCGGTATTTCTGAAAGCATATCGACTATGTATGTGATAACGCTAAAGTCCATAGTCACACCTCGATGTCTATCTTAGCCAAGTCGCATAATGAACCCAACATATCGACTGTATATATGTGACAACGCTAAAGTTCGTAGCCACACCTCGATTTCAATCCTAGCCGAGTTGCGTACAATGAACCCAACATTTGCAATAGTAGTTGATGCTTCATCAGTGTCACTTTGAAATCCAAAAGTTTTATAGCTCCAAGCGGACATGTCTCGCAGCTCCTTGTACCTAGGAATCGGAGTAAACCAACAAGAAACCCTAGGCCCGAACACCGTAAAATGCCAGGCAGCCTCCATCTCTCTCTGCTCGGCGACATACTCCAACTCTTCCCGTCTCGAATCCCAAGAGAACACAACGTTGCTCCTACCAAAAACACCATGAAAGAAGACAACTTCCGACTTATTAGATGGATGTAGAAAAGGTCCATAGCAGCCCTCAACTTCATAGTTAGTTACCACACCTTGACGTCTTGCTCACCAATCCCTCGTATTGTTTCGTCCAAGATTTACGGTCTTCTTCCAGTTTCCAGATGCTTAAAGGAATCGGTAACGCTCTCTCTTGACATGCAATAATGTGCAACAGTACTCCCTGTGAAACAGAAATTTTCCAATCCTTTGTTGCATCGATTGCAGAAATATCAATACAAAAACAGGAGGTAAATCAAGCCGGAAAGGATTGAACGCGTCCACCACCAAACAGTTAGATCGAGGGAATATTTTACGATGCGTCCAAAACAACTCCCCATTGAACGAACTCGCATCCTTTAATCCGTTAATAATAACATGACCAACACAGACTAGGGCATATTTCGTCCATTCTCTAGACTCCGAACAAAACACGTCTAGGTTTCTAGATAGTGGCGTCGTCGTCGCATTTTGGTACATATGCACCACCCGATCGAAACCGATATTCGGAAGTATAAACAAAAGACACGTCCATCTCCTAGGTCTAGGTTTTTAGAAACACGCGGTTCACAAACTAACCTCGCGTTCGGCTTCCTGTACTCCACAGTCTTCCTAGGCGCTAGAGGAAGGGCGATCCACTGCTTCGTAAACGGATTGCAGACCAGGTACGACCTGCATGCTTCCTCGTCCTCCTTGGGTGAATCCCAAGACCCGCATAAAACCCAAGTCGTTGAAGCAAACCAAAACTTTGAGAGTGTCTCTACGGTCATTGGGCATGGGAGGGAGAAAGCTGAGGATGATCGATTTTAGCTGGTCCGGATCGGTTGGCAGAGGTGGTTGGTTCTGGTTCATGGTCTGGCAGTCAGAAACGAAACGGTGGTTGAACCGGGGACTCAAAATCAGGGAGCTCCAGCGCTTGCAGGCTGATTTAGGGTTTGGGAAGCTGCGAATCAGAATCTCTAAGAGGAGATCGTCTCCCAGTTTGCTGATCATGGAAGGAAGAGCACTACTAGGGTTTACTTGTGAATGGATCGGACGACACCGTTTCTGCTAGACAGAACGGAGAAAGGAGTTGCAGTTCTCGCTCGCCATGGCGGTCGATGGATTATTGAAGAATTGTAACGTCGTCAATCCTTTACTTAAACGGTGGCGACTGCTATTCTGCTTTCTCGTTGTGCTCCTCGGAATAGGACCGATTGTTTTCTTGGGATGAAATTAAAGTATCTCGGTTGCGCAATTGCTGGTGAAAGTTACTATGATGATTAATTACCATTATCATATAAAATAAATGGTTGTAGGTATAATATGCTCCTCTACTAAAATATTTTATCAAACATGTCCCTACTATTTTTTACATCAAATATGCCCCTATTCTTTTGAAAAAATTATCAAACATGCCCTTATTGCTGATCAAATATGCCCCTATTTTTTACATCAAAAAGTTATCGTGTTCCATAGCGGTAAGACCACCTGCCTTTTCCGCGGATTGGATAAGCGCGGCACTATCGGTCTAACCGGACAATAGGGTACGATTTTTAAAACCTCGAATCGAAGTAGGCCAACAATGGACACGAGGCTGGAACACCATGAAACGACAGACACCAGGGCCCGCTTCTAGTTCAGCAAACAGCTCCACCTCTTCTCTTCGCAGATCCCAGGACAGTATAGCATTCGCATCACGATCACCACCATCAAGCCAGTTGAACAACACGACTCCCGGCTTACTCGGATGCAGACAAAGCTCAACATCGCACCTCTCGACTCGATATTTCCCGCACCTCGTTGTCTTCTTACTCACCAACCCTTCACACAGTTTCCTCCATGATCGCCGGTCTTCCTCCAGTCTCCAGACGCTCAAGCGCCACCCGGCTCCACCTGCAGCTCCGTGGCCCTCGAGTGCAATCACGTGCAACGCGCCTTGCGAGACCGAAATCACCCACCACGGTTTCGCGGCGAACGCAGAGACATCAACGGAAACAGCACGGAACCGGAAAGGATTCAAGGCAGCCACCGAATCATGGACCCGGCCGCCTTCTTTCAGATACGACCAGAACAACTCCCCGTCGCACGACGACGAAACCACGCTCTTGTCTCCGAACCTCACACAATCGTGGACAGCAACAACCTCCCCCATCCATTTCCACGTCCCCGAAAAAAACACGTCCAGCATCGTAGTGGGCCCCACCTGATAAATACACACCACTCGAAACCGATGCTCGGAAGAATAGACGAACGACGCCGTTTCGTCGTCGTCGTCGTCATCTCCCAGATCGAGTTTCTTAGGATTGCAGGGTTCGCAAACCAACCTCGCGACGGGTTGTTCGTACCCGACGCGCTTTCTAGGCGCTAGAGGAAGGGCGACCCACTGCTTCGTGAACGGATTGCAGATCAAGTACGATCTCACCAATTCGTGGTTGTTGTTGTTATACAAATCCCAGAACCCGCACAAAACCAAGTCCTTGAAGCAATCGAGGACTCTCAGATCGTCTCGAACGTACGTGCGAGGGAGAAACCCTAATCTCCGGATGGTCGATTGCAGCTCGTTCGGATCGTCCGGGAGAGGGAGGTGGCGGCGATTCGAGCGGTGGTGGTGATGAACGAAGCGGCGGTTGAAGGAGGGAGTGGAGATGAGGGAATTCCACCGCTTGCAGACGGATTTGCAGCGGCAGGCGGGTCTCGGGTCGGGGAGGCGGATGAGAATCTGGACGAGGAGGTCGTCTCCGAGCTGGCTGATCATGGAATGACGAGAACGGAGAAAGACGAATGAAAGGAAGATGGCGCCGGCGGCGGCCGGGAGGAGGTATTTGGAATCCACGGCGGAGGAAGAGTGGAGCGATCGAAGCCATGAGTGTCCCTCCATACTTGCTTCGCTTGACCTAACCGGCGGCCGCTTGCTTCCTCGATCGTCTCTAAACCTCGTCCTTCCTATTATTCGCTCATTCGCAAACTAGAGTTTAAGATTTTGAGAAATTAGGGTTTAGGATTAGGCAGTGATCAAATATCATCGCTAAGAAAATATCTGAATGTTTTAACCCCTTTAACAAGAACTAGTTTTTTAGCCGGCCAGTTGGCTGGAGAAGTTCATTTTATTATTTATATTAGTTAAATTATCTATATGTTTGAATTTTTTTGGATCTTGTATACATTTTCTGCTCTCACTTCATAAGTGAATATTTGGTATGCCTATATCGAATAATATTTAATAGTTAGCACACTCGCTTGTGATGGTTTTATTCTCTGATCATAAATCATGTCGTAAAGGTTTATCACGTCCCATTTAGGATCGTATATAAAAAAAATTTCCACCAAGACGCTCAAATTTATTAACTTATACAACATATATCAATTCATGATTCTCGAGTTTGTACGAACTCTCGGCCAATTAATCAGAGTTCAAATTATTGGAAAACGATACTTGATTACGGGATAAATTATTTTTATTCCAATTGAAATTTTCGCACATCGTATCCCTTATAATTATTAAATTCTCTAAACCTCACTCATTTTTATTGTTGATGTTCATGAAGTCTTTGTATAGCAACTTATTACAATTGATAATATTTTAAGTTTGTACTTACTACCAATGCAGTCAAAATCGCGTTTTAAAACTTTAAAACTTACGATTTTACGCTTTTAGGTCACCAAAACGCTTTCGTTTCTATATTAAAACTTAAGTGTATAAAATCGGACTAAATTGCGCTTTAAAACTTAAAAGCTTACGCTTTTACGCTTCTAGTTCACCAAAACGCTTTACGTTTTTACGCTTTTAGTTCACTAAATGAGTATTCTTTTAATGAAATTAATTATGAAAAGTATATTTTAGAAGTAAATCACCAACAATATGATGCATTTGAGATAAAAGATACATACCAGGTACTTGGATGCATTCTCAACTTCAATAGAGTAATAATTCACCAGCTAGCCTCTTCTCGAATTCATTAGCATAGATGAAAAAGTGGCTTATTGTTAAATTTATGTTTACGCACTTATTATTAAGATTGTATAAGTTGCTCTACTTTAGGCATGAATTGCATGTATTTATTAACTTATCTAAATTCTGTGCATTCATATTTTACATAGTATATGTCCTACTTAATAGATTTTTAGTTATTTTACAATATGCGTAAAAAACTTACGCTTTTACGCTTTGATTCTACGCTTTACGATTTTACCCCTTTTCCGCTTCTAAGTAGAATCGCGCTTTTGACTGCATTGCTTACTACTAACCCTCAACCCATGCCTTTTGTCTAGATGTTTGTTTAGAATCTGAATCCAAGGATTCATATACACTATCGAAGGTTCTCATCTTAACATGTTCCTTCAATGTATAATTTTTCAACTATTTGAATGTCCATTCACTAAAATTTCTTTATATTTGGTGTTTGTTCTAGAATAAAAATTTCATTACTTATATTAATAATTGGTAAAGTGTGTATACGACAAATATTTCAGGTGCATTCAAAATTATGTATTCCTTGAATAATTAACTTATAATTTTTTAACAAAATATTTTGTATCAAAATTTAGAAGTTCATACAAACATTGTGGCTTTTCACATGTATTTAAATTATTGGATGTATTGTAGACACATATATTGTTAATATCTAAACATATATATACAGAGAGTTTATTTTACTTTCAAAATTATGTATTCTATGATATCAATTTTTTTTGTTATTGCCAAAATTTGGTATGAAATCACAGATTCACAACTATATAGACTTATTACAATTTTCTTACTAAACTCATATTAATTAAATATTCTTATTTTGACCCAATAACTAGATTTACACTATTATAACTATAAATATTTTTTGTTATATATGTGAAGTAAGACATTAATGTTTATTTATTACTTCAATCTTCGAGTTTAGATCCATTATCAGTCTAACTGTACAATAGGATACGATTTTTAAAACCTCAAATCGAAGTAGGCCAACAATGGACACGAGGCTGGAACACCATGAAACGACAGACACCAGGGCCCCCTTCTAATTCAGCAAACAACTCCACCTCTTTTCTTCGCAGATCCCAGGACAGTATAGCATTCGCATCACGATCACCATCAAGCCAGTTGAACAACACGACTCCCGGCTTACTCGGATGCAGACAAAGTTCAACATCGCATCTCTCGACTCGATATTTCCCGCACCTCGTTGTCTTCTTACTCACCAACCCTTCACACAGTTTCCTCCAGGATCGCCGGTCTTCTTCCAGTCTCCAAACGCTCAAGCGCCACCCGACTACTTCACCTGCTCCGCGCCCCTCGAATGCAATCACGTGCAACGCGCCTTGCGAGACCGAAATCACCCAGCACGGTTTCGCGGCGAACGCGGAAACATCAATGGAAGCGGGACGACGACCTGCATCAAAACGGAAAGGATCGAAGGCAGCCACCGAATAATGGACCCGGCCTAATTGTTTCAGATCTTCGAGTTTGTGATACGACCAGAACAACTCCCCGTTGCACGACGACGAAACTACGCTCTTGTTTCCGGACCTCACACAGTCGCGGAGAGAAAGAACCTCCCTCCTCCATTTCCACGTCTCCGAAAAAAACAGGTCTAGCTCCGTACTGGATCCCACCTGATAAATACACACCACTCGAAACCGATACTCGGAAGAATAGACGAACGCTGGTTCGTCGTTATCTCCCAGATAAAGTTTCTTAGGGTTTCGGGGTTCGCAAACTAACCTCGCGACGGCTTGTTCGTACCCTATACGCTTTTTAGGCGCTAGAGGAAGGGCGACCCATTGCTTCGTGAACGGATTGCAGATCAAGTACGATCTCCCCGGTATGTCGTTGTTGTTATACAAATCCCAGAACCCGCACAAAACCAAGTCCTTGAAGCAATCGAGGACTCTCAGATCGTTTAGAACGTACGCGCGAGGGAGAAACCCTAATCTCCGGATGGTCGATTGCAGCTCGTTCGGATCGTCCGGCAGAGGGAGGTGGTGATTCGAGCTACGGTGGTGATGAACGAAGCGGCGGTTGAAGGAGGGAGTGGAGATGAGGGAATTCCACCGCTTGCAGACGGATTTGCAGCGGCAGGCGGGTCTCGGGTCGGGGAGGCGGATGAGAATCTGGACGAGGAGGTCGTCTCCGAGCTGGCTGATCATGGAATAGCGAGATCGGAGAAAGACGAATGAAAGGAAGATGGCGCCGGCGGCGGCCGGGAGGAGGTATTTGGAATCCACGGCGGAGGAAGAGTGGAGCGATCGAAGCCACGAGTGTCCCTCCATACTTTGATTCGCTTGACCTAACCGGTGGCGGCCGCTTGCTTCCTCGATCGTCTCTAAAACCTCGTCCTCCTGCTCTCGGTTTAGGACTTGGGGATATCGATAATCGATTGTTCAGTTTCAACTTTCACGTCTCCCAATCAGAATATGGGCTGCTGCTATTCTCTTGATGGGTTGGGCCTTCTTTAACGTAACCGACCATACCATGAAACATTCTACTGGGGATTTTTTTTTTTCCTACCAGAAATACCACTATGAAAATATAAAATTTCACAAATAACATCCTTTTCGGGAAAATGCCAGAAATGCCACATTTGATACAAACTGCATGGAGAAGGGGCACGATTTACACAGGGGAATTGCTCGGAGGGGAAACCGTTTCAATTAGGGCGGCCGACAAACCGCCTGATCACGTGGTGGTCTCCGGAGTCGTCGGATGAAGATGCGATCCGACGACGGACAGTCCGTCATGTCGGCGGTCCGCGTCTTGGATGCAAGAACCGCTCCCCCCCCAAGGCGGTTTCTGTTTGAAATATGAAAATCGCTTGCAGGACAGACTATTTTCGTTTGGAGTAAAATGACTCCCACCAGGCGGGACGTATACAGTTTTCGTTTGAAATAAGAAAATCCCTTATTATAAAATATAAACCCTAACATGATTCATATGGTACGATGGATATTATTTCAATGAAAATCATCGTTTTTAGTGTATTTGATTTTACAGGTTGAGAAAGAGATATATAGAAAGAGAAAGAAATGTATTATATGAACTTTTTTAAAAAGCAATACATTTAATATGAGATTTTAATTCCCAAAGTATAATCAATACAAATGAAGTAATTAATAAAAAAACTGTTTCGACATTTCCAAATTGCCCTGGTGCAGAGGATGTTGTGAAAATGAGAACCCTCAAATCAGTTGTGACCATATCTCACCCAAATGCTTATATCTAAGATTAGGTACTTTTTTATTAGGTTGACTTTTGAACTTTATTGTTGGTTATGATGAGATGTTAATGTGGCTTTTTTTAGTTACTTGCTAATATTTAGTTTGGATAGTATAGATTTTGTTATAGTATGATTTCTCTGATTCAGATCGTATCGAATCGCACCTCACAGATATGATCTGTTATGGACCCTATATGATTTAATACATAATATACTTTCTTGAACCAGAAACCATATATATGGACAGTGATCTGGAATAATCCAAGACCGCATCATTTCTCTGGCCTAATCTATACACAAGGAAATCGTCTTCATACCAATTTTATTATCATGAAAGTAAGAGTTATGGATGGTATTCGGTTTTCCGGTTAACAGTATAACAGATAACCAAACCAGTAATCGTTGGTTACTGGTTATACCGTTAACCCCCGGTATCGGTATGCGGTAGCACAAAATTGGAATGTATATAATCCAATCTTATTTTTGATATAATGAATACTTCTGAACAAAATGATTGATGTAATTGAGGCAGACCGAGACAACAAAATGACACGATAAAACTTCTTTTATTTGGTAACCACCGTGACTATTAGATTTTAAATCCGTAGTAATCCATACTAGTTATTGTATCAATGTTGTTTTGTTTTGAAAATGATTTTTTTTAGTGCTTTGTCTTTTTTCTCCACAAATCACAAAAAAAACGAAACAATTTATTTTGAACAACAAAGAGCCATTACTCAAGTCCGCCAATGGATTCCCCAAACAAGTCGTACAAGGAGTTTAGAAACTTTGAATAGTTGTTTGAATGGCGACAGAGTTGAGAGTTGAGACAATTTCTTCTGATCAGAGTCAGTTTATATATATACATATAGAATCAAAACCATGCATGAAAACCCTAATTAGCTAGCTACCACCACCAATCGGATCCTTTCTCCTCCGTCTCTCAGGCCGGCGTTGTCTTTCCTTGAATCCATCTAGCTCTACCGCCATGGACTCGGATCGGGATCGTTCCGAAAAACGACCACGAATGATCATAAACAAACTGGGCGACGACCTCCTCGTAGAGATTCTGATCCGCGGCCTCCGAAACCCTAGATCCGCCTGCTCCTCCAAACTCGTCTGCAAGCGGTGGAGCTCCCTCATCTCCGGTCCTCGCTTCAACCGCCGTTTCGTTTCTCACCACAGGGACATCATGAACCGTCGTCCGATGCCGGACGATCCGTTGGAGCTGCTACGGATCATCCGCAGCTTTCTCCCTCCAATGCCTAAAGGAGTTGCAGACGCTCTGAGAGTTTTGGATTGCAACAAAGGACTTGGTTTTATGCGGGGTTCGGGACGATTTAGCCAAAAATCACGACAAGGGCGAACGAAAGCAGATCGTACTTGGTCTGCAATCCGTTTACGAAGCAGTGGGTCGCTCTTCCTTTGGCACCTAGCTAGGAAGTATTCTCGCCGTTGTCGGAAGCAAGCGAGGTTAAGTTTGTGAGCCCTATATTTCTCATAAGCTTGATTTGGGAGACGACGACGATGACGACGAAGCATTTGTTTATTTCGAGTATCGTTTCCGGGTGGTTCGTACACACAAGGAAGTTTCTGTCGGTTCGAAATTAGACGTGTTTTGTTCGGAGTCGGGAAAGTGGACCAAGGAAGCTCTCGTTTGTCGTAACAATTTTATGGTTGGACCGGTAGGTTCTTGCCTTCTTCCATTGCACCGCCGGCAAGGATAAGAATGCTATATTGTGCTACGATTTCAGAAGGGAAGAGTTGGAGGTCTTCGGCGAGCTAACAGGGTTGCCGGAATATCGTCATGGCCTCCGGGTGTTCCAGCCCAGAGTTTGTTGCTGGCCGACGCCGATTCCAAGGTACAGGGAGCTGCAAGGCATTTACGATGGAAGCTATAGCTTTTGGTTTCAGACTCAGAGCTGAAAATCTAGCTCATGAACGAACAAAGCATATTGAAATAGATTGTCACATTGTTCGTGATCGAATCTTGTCAGGATTGATAAAGGTATTGTTTGTTAACAGTGAGCATCAACTTGCTGATATTTTCACAAAGTCTTTGACAAGTACAGTGTTTGCAGGTCTCAACTCCAAGCTGAACCGTGTGGACATTCACGCTCCAGCTTGCGGGGGGGTGTTGGAGGACTCAAATGTAACAAATCTGTAGTATAAGGACTGATTTGTAATGTGTGTTTATTGTAGCATCGTCTTGATATTTTACAGGAACAGTTTATATATATATGTAACTGAATCGCTATTCGTCGCCCTAAAAATTAAATTTTGTCGCCCTAAAATGCACCAAATTGACACTATTACCCCTGATTCCAATTTCAACCTAAACCTTAAACAAAAAATATCTTTTTCCCTGCCCAGCCGTCGCCGAGCTCCTCCGTCTTGTGACCGCTGTTGCCGTTGCCGGATTCTTATCTCCGGCTCGTCTTTCCTTTTTCCAACCCGGATTCAGTATATACCCTACTCAAAGACTCTTACCCATGCAACCACACCTATTACAAATAAATGACAGAATAATAGGGAAACAGCACAATATCCCAAGGTGGGTTAACATATATATTGTCTTTGAGAAAGAAAGCTACAAGTCACGACTTACCGGATTGCAGAATGCAGATCACTGCTGTCGTTTTCTTCCGTAGGCATAACGGTGCAACTTTGGAACATATCTTGTTGGTGGCGGCCAATTTTGACGGCCATCAAGTCTGCAATCAGCCCAGGTTCGGAATCTCCACAACAGCAAAACTCGTATGCTATTATTCGCGTCAATTTGTCTTAAGGAACGGATCTAATGATTTTTCATGGTGCAGCCCGAAGGAATTGCAGTGGAGGCACACTACAAAAAATTGCCGCTATCCCGACGGTTTCAAAGCAGGGGTTCACTTAACCCTTGCTATTAATTCCTAAACTTGCGATACCAACGGTTAGTTTCTGCGGTTGGATAACCCCTGCTAGGCTGCTACCTTTAAATCGAAATTATGCAACATCATACTAAAATATTTCCCACCCTTCCTCTCTTATATTAGCAAACCAATTTCTTCAAATAAAAAACAAAGAAAATGATGAACAAGTAAGTACATCGATCGCTTTTATCGATATGGAAAAACTAAACCGTCTATCTATTTTACGTACTAATTCTCGCGTGATTAACTATGCGAACTAAATCGCTTGGCATGCATGCAATTAGACATGGCAAAAAAAAAAAAGAACTGCGGTTTTAGATTATGCCCCTGTTTGCTAATCAACTAATTAGATCATGTTCTCCTGTTTCTTCTGTGCTTTCCTGATTTCGCGATGAAGGCCGCCATGGATGGTGGAAACTAAGCCTAAAGAGCTTGGATTGGGAATCTACGTGTGAACAGAGTGAGAAAGAGCTGTTCCTCTATATATGTCGAGCAAAATTTTTTGTAATGTTAATTAAGAATTTTCCATTTATAATTAAGTAAAGTTGGTAAACTAATGAGTGATATTCCTAATCCTCCATGGAAGCGGATAGACACAATTAATGTTCCTTCACCATTTCCGAATAAGGAAAGGTAACAATCATCAGATATAATTCTACAAATACAGAGTTGGATTAGGAGACAATTTCTTCTTATCAAAGTTTATATATAGAGAATCGGGTCCTTTCTCCTCTCGTCTCCGGCCGGCGTTATCTTTCCTTGAATCCATCTAGCTCTACCGCCGCCGAGAACTAGATCGGGATCTTTCCGGAAAACGACGACGAATGATGAGTTCAGCATTAGCAAACCAGCTGCAGCTTCCTCCCACGGCGATAAACAAACTCGGCGACGACCTCCTGGTAGAGATTCTGATCCGAGGCCTCCGAAACCCTAGATCCGCCTGCTCCTCCAAACTCGTCTGCAAGCGGTGGAGCTCCCTCATCTCCTCTCCTCGCTTCAACCGCCGCTTCGTTTCTCACCACTGGGAAACGAACCGTCCGATGCCGGACGATCCGTTGGAGCTGCTACGGATCCTCCGCGGCTTTCTCCCTCCCATGCCCGACGGAGTTCGATACGCTCTGAGAGTTTTGGACTGCAACAAGGACTTGGTTTTGTGCGGGTTTTGGGATGTTGCTAGAGATTGCGAGGAGGGCGAACGAACCCGATCGTACCTGGTCTGCAATCCGTTTACGAAGCAGTGGATCGCTCTTCCTTTGGCACCTAGGAAGCCTTCTGGCAGTTATCGGGAGCAAGCGAGGTTAGTTTGTGAACCCCGTATTTCTCATATGCTCGATTTGGGAGATGGCCGCGGCGTTGGTGATGAAGCGGCCGTTTATTTCGAGTATCGATTCCGTGTGGTGTGCACGTACACAGAATCACTTTTCGACGTTGATTCGAAATTCCACGTGTTTTGTTCGGAGTCGGGAAAATGGGGCAAGGAAACTCTTGCTTGTTGTAATACTCTCGTGCTTGGTCCCCTAGTTTCTTGCAACGAGGAGTTGTTTTGGAAGTATTGCGAATTGGGTTTTTCGGTGGCTAGGTTTAATCCTTTCCGTCCTGATATGCCTCCCGCTTCTGTTGATCCTCCTCGTGCATTGCTCCACGCGAAAACCGACTGGTCTGTTTATGTCTCACAAGGTGCATTGCACATCGTGGCGGTTGAAAACAGAACCCTACCTGCGATTCGTTTAAGCGTATGGAGACTCGAAGAAGACGGTCGATCTTGGAGGGAACAGTTTGAGGGATCGCTGAGCAAGGCATCAAGGTATTGGGAGTATGATATCGTTGGGGGCTGTTATCCGCTTGGTCTGCATCCACAAAACCCGGAGATCGCCTTCTTTCATTGCACCGCCGGCGAGAACAAGAATGCTATGTTGTGCTACGATTGGAGAAGGGAAGAATTGAAGGTCTTCTGTCATGCTCTCCGGGTGTTCCAGCCAAGAGTTTGTTGCTGGCCGGCGCCGATTCCGAGGTACAAGGAGCTGCAAGGCGTCTACGATGGAAGCTACAGCTTTTGGTTTCAGACTAAGAGAGCAAAAGCAAAAACTCCACCGCTCCCTCCGTCATGAATTGCTTTTCTTCATTCTTTACTGCTTTGGCACATGTCTGGTTTTTAGTTCTTTTCTTCATTCCATACCTTCCACGTACTGACTGTGGGGATGCGTCGATTCTTTATGTATGTATGTGTTTAAATGCTTTGGATTAGTCTACACATAATATAATACACCGAAGGGAAAAACCGGAGACCCATTTTAAATTTCCTGCAACGAGAGTGAAAGTAGGAAGGGCATTTTGGTCTTCACAATTACTTTTTTTTATTCATTAAAAAGACACGTACTGGGATTCGAACCATGACCATTTTAAAGAAAAGCAAGAATCATAACCAATCACACTAAGTACATTTGTTGTATCTTTTTAAATTAAAAACATATAATAGCAGGGTGGAAAAAACTTTCCCCCCATTTCAAATTCCCTGCTCCAGGACCATTTATAGGAAGGATAGAATAGGGAGTGTCAATTTTTTCTCTTTCCTCTGTGGAACGGGCCAACTTACCGTACACATGCGAATTTAAACGGGTCTAGGAGTGTCAATTTTTTTCTTTATACCCTTTTATTTCTCCGTGGTGATAAAATATATATGAAAAGGCAAAAATAATACTCCTTTTTATTGTTAAAAATAAAAAACTTAACAATAAACTAATGCATGGTATCTAATGGGCTAACCGCTAACCATAAAATAAAAGAGTTGAATGAGGCTGACCTACATGGGATTTGGCCATCAAGTAAAACAAATGAACACCATTGGTTTGCCATTGTAAAATAAGCTATTTTCTCTGGCATAATATATATTATGCTATTATTTTATATCTTAGTGGCTAAAATATAATGTAGTTTAAAGTTATTCAATGGTTCAACCTCGACCAACCCAATTAGTCCAATTTTTATCATTGCAAATATATATTTTATAATTATTTGACATCATAATGATCAAATTATAGTGTATTTTATAGGGAATCATTTGGTATTTGTTAGTAAAAAATTAAACATAAAGATCTATTTGGTTATTTTAAACATTAAAACTATCCTAAACATTTTCAGTTCCTTTTGTATTTCTATGGTTTTATTCCTGAATAAGTGATGTGCAAATGGCGAATTGTAGTCGTCTTTTTTCTTTCACTATTTTTTATTTTCAAATAGAAAGTTTAAAGTAAAGAATAATTAGAATTTGGCATGGGTCGGTCAAACAGGCTGAATTTCAAGTTTTGGCCCGTTTGTTTTATGCATTGCAAATTTATTAGCATGTTGATGGAAATGGCTTGGAAAAAAGAAATATAAGTTGTACCTTTGCAGAAATGTCCTCAAATGTTTGAATGCTTTGTGAATCAGGTTCCGTGACTTTTTTGATGGTGTATGTGCTTGACGATTGCTCGATGTTGCAACTACTTAATTTGAGAGTAAATCTTTTGATTTTCCCTATGAGTTGTGATACCAGTTCTGGTGGTTGCAGCATCTTGTCGTTGTTGCCCTGTAAAAG